AATTACATGGTTTTGCAATGTCAACCTAGCTTTTTCCAATGGAGTTTTGTGGTGGATCTTAAATTCTACAATTTAAACTGTCAACCTTATATAAATTTTTTTCTTTATTTATTTATTTATCTCTTATATATATTTTCTGGTTGTATTCACCTACTTTGCATTTAGTTGGGATATACATTATCTTAAGCAAAACCCTAGGAAGGGCTCCCAAAATCCCAGCATCTACAACATCGGTGATAGATAGAGGGGGACTCAACATTTAGGGCCATACCATTTTTAGAGCCTTCTCTTTCTAAATCTTGTCCGTTAAAAGTTTGTTTGAATGTATTCATTATCATTGATACAACATTGTTTCAGTAAATTGAGTCATGATAATGATTTATCTATTGTTGAGCATTGCTTCAGTAAATCTAATCAAGATAATGAATTATCTACGCAGTATCCATCATAAAGTTATTTGCGATAAACTTATAGGGAAGTTGTTTTTACTTTATTCAAGTAATCTACTAAATATGATATGTTTTTAGCCCGAAATAATTAAATATACCAAAAAATCTCCGAAAAATTTAAATTATTATATAATATATTTTTTAAAATAATTAAATAATATTATATATTTGATATTGTATACATAACTAGCATCTAACTATATCTAGAGTAGATTAATTTCATATAAGGTATTATATTAACAATAGTATGAGATCCTCTCACATCCACGTGAATAGGACCTTAAAGGATCACCATTAAATTTTGACACAGATCTCTAGAAAAGTTATCAATAAACTCATTTACCCAAGTTTTACAGTCTCACACCCATGTTTAAAATGTTTCACAATATTCGAGAAATTTCATGTTGTGCTTTTTGCCCAATCAATAGTGCATCCTTGTCCACTCGATTTCACATCTAATGGTCAATAACAATTGCGAACTCTTTGTATCAAAAGTAAATTATCTCATTGTATACATTTCCTTAAAATAAACTACAAATCAACCAGCAAGACAAAAAGAGTAACCAAATAACAAAATCAAAATTAAAATTCTATACCTAAAATAAAACTCAAGTATATAGTAAGACTATTTACTTATAATACGAGATCACAATTACTTCCAGCCATAAATATGAGACTGGGTGCCAACTATGTGTTATTAACATCATTTAAAAAAAAAAAAAGAAGAAGAAAGAAAGAAAAAAGTGCAATATATAATCCCAAAGAAATGTTCTCTACTCTCTCAGTGTTATTAAGCTCCTTTCGAGGTCAGGGTGGTGCTTCTATAAGTGGCAACAAACTCCAGGCATTGGCGTATAATGGCCAATATCTTATTGTGAGTGTCAAAATCATTCTTCACAGATACTGGTCGACGATTGTTAGTGTTGGCACTCGCTGTATAATTCTCCACCACATACACACAGTCACTTCTTGCCCTTCTAGCTACTTCATTTTGTAGGAATTCTGCCTCCTTCCTGTTCTTTAGAGCCCTCTTGTGGGTTAATACCACCACAAATTGTAAACCTACAAGGATGATTTGTACTTTATGTTTTGGGTCAATGGATAACCATAATTTTAAAAGGAAAAAACGTACAATCAAGGAAACCAACATAGAGAAGCCCTTAGATCAAGAGGAGCAAAGCTTTTTGTGACCAAAGAAAACTGTTATATCTTATTAGGTTATATGTTAGCTATATGAATAAGTTATATGTCAGCTTGTCACATCATTATTCAAATAGTAAAATTTCAGCAATGCAATAAGGGAAAATGTTGTCAATATCAGGATTTTGCCGGTGACAAAAAAAAAAGAAAGGAATCTCTTTTGCCACTATTGACAATAATATGGACATTTTTATCATAACATTTTGGAGGAATAATTTTTGGATTTTTCCCCTCCGCAATGGTTAAACACCAATTTCAGTCTCAAATTTTGATAACTACCTTAGCATCCTTAGATGATTATTGTAAAAAAAATAAATAAAACTTTAAAAATTGGACGGTTGCTTTCATTTTTATTTCACTTTTGGTAAGTGACCAAATGCCCTTCATAAAATTCAAAGGAACAAAATATTTTGGAAAACCGAAAAAGAATAAAAAAAACATCTAGAATTCTTACCTTCTTCTCGCAAAACGGAAACGATTTCCGGAAGCTTTTTCATAAGAAGTTTTCCGAGCATCACATCCTTCGACCCCAAAACAAGTACAACACACTCTGGCACAGGGCACATCCCTCCTCCCGGATTTTGATTCTCAGGCACAACCTTGAGAAGGGTTTTCACATCGGATTTCAGCAGCTTATCGGCAGCCGGCAAAGGTGGGGTGTCAACTAGGCTAATAATATTTTCAGGGTTACCCCCAAAAGGGTTCCTAACACTAACACGTTTGTGTCTTGAGGTGGTGCTTAGAAGACAATGGGGTGCAGTCTCAGCTCTAAGAATAAGGGGACCTTCTTCTCCATAGAGGACCCTACACATTGTGTTTACAAGGGAGCTCTTGCCATGGTCATGGAAGCCAAGGAGAAATATGGTTGGTGGGTTTTGAGAGATATTTGGGATTGAACTAAGCGCATTTTGGATCTCGAGGTATTGCGCATGGAGGGCATTTTGGTCATTCAGTCTTTTACAGGCGATGAAGGTGAGAATGCCAGTGAGAGAAGTTCCAAGAAGCCTGAGGAGGAGACCTCTTGATTGTAGGAACACAGACATGGTCTATATCTTTTTGCCCCTTTTTTGGCTTTTGCCGGCAACTATTTTGGGATATCTTAGCAGTTGGATTCGAAATTTGATTCTTTTTTTTGTGCTTTTCTTTATCAACAGGTCAGGTATATATGCTATGGTGATTTTCTCAAAGAAGGTTCCTCCTCGAGCTTTAGAGTGTCTTTGATAATCACCATGCATCCGACCCCCGTTTACTGAGGTCACCAGCGCTTAACCTTGGAACTTCGATTTACAGTGGGTTGCCTACTTACCTGCCATGAGCCGAAGCGGAGTGGACCGAGTCTGAAAACACTGTTTCTTAACGAGCACCTCAGTGGTGAGACTGAAAATGCCTTCGTCACAATCAAGTGGGGGAAATGTCATGTGCTTTATTGTTCATCAAAGGGGAGAATTGCCATGTACACTATAACTAAGAGAATTGAAGCAGATATTGAAATAAAGACTAATGTGATCTTTCTAGGGGTGAAAATAAAAAATATATATCCCCTAGAGTCAAAGTTTAGTTCATGCAGGAGTTCATTAGTGGGTCACCAAAGTTTGACCGATGAACCAAAGGGTCATAATCTCAATACGTAGATTTCAAGTTCTCTCTTAAAGACGTACCAAGGTCATCCAGACCTGATGCGACCACAACTCTATCTCTCGTATATGCATAAGCTTCACTTTGAAAGGTGATTCACTTTCCCAAAACGATTATCATATATACATATGGCTCACGGATGAGGCTTTAGCCTCGTCTCTAAAGGCCACCATCAAACCTAAAGGTCACACGATCCCTCGGCTCACTCATCTGGGCATACTCCGACCTCATCAAGGGATGACCTAATAGAACCATTATCGGATAGTTTACTATGCCCAGGTTACATAGGTTTTTTCCTACCAACTGGCCTAACTCATCAAGCTCAGTCCGGTATCAGCAAACATCGTTTGCTTAATATGGTTTACACATGACCACATTCTCACTGAGTCCATATTCCATCATATCAAAATGTTTATTTCAAGCACTTATAAGGCCATTAATGGCCACACTTAATGGCCACACTCACCCAATAGATATGACAACATTTGAAGATGTTAAAGGCCACCATTTTTGGATAGCAGTAATGAGGGAGCACAAAGAATATTACCCTACTTTTTTTTGTAGTAAAGGCCAGACGCGGTTTGGAGGTTTTAGTTTCTCTTTGTTTGCCATTTATGTACCAGTTGCCCAAGGGAAATGAAAAGGAACAAATTGCAGGGGAAAGGTGCAAGGATCATCAAAATTCCCTAGAAGTATGGGAGAAAATGTATGTGCCTAGAACATAATAACCAACCTCAAAGAAATAAAAATTGAATCAAATTCTTGTGTGCATCAAAATGTCCCAAGATTGATTGAGAACCATCTAATTTTTGGGGGGCATTATCAAGTGCTCAATTACTAAAACTCTTTTTCTTTTTCTTTTTTTTCTCTCTCTCTCCTCTTAAAAATGATTATATGGTGATATTAAGATGAAACCCAGCTTTTGGATTAAAAAAAATCTTCCCTAGTAATTCTTTTGGCAGAGGGAGTAATTCTACAATATACTCTCATGAGAGCATCCTATACGCACTCAGCCCCCTTTCACTTTTAACGCCAATCGTGTGCTATACCCACTTGGTCAATGCAAGCCAAAATTGCCCTAAATTTGGGTAACTACGAGATGAAAAAGATAATGAGGGAATGGTGGTCTCTCAAGGCCACTTTCAACACGTTACCTCGGCCGGAAACCTAGTTAGGCGAATCTTTTTTTATTTCATAATGTTTAAAGGAAAAGTCTTCCCAACTCCTATAGGCGAAAATGAGCATTGATTTCGCTTACCTTCATCATCGTCCAAAGTTCATCGTATAATTATGATTGTCCGGTAGTGTTTTATTTTTCATTTTTTTTTTCTATAAATCGGAATGATATGAAATTTGGAGTGTATATGTATATTAGTAAGGCAAACTTAATAAAAATATAAAAAAAATAATTCGAAAAAATAATTGACCAAAATACCCCTAAATCTTTTCGAAGGTATTTTGGTCAATTTATTTCATGTAAAATATTTTTTTAATATTTTTCACAGATTCACCTATTTTTTATGAACACATGTTCCAATTTTCAAATCATTCCGATTTGTAGAAAAGAAATGAAAAATAAAACACTACCAAACAATGGTGACCGTGCGATGAACTTTGGACGGTTCACTGTTCATGATCGCCTATAGGCGTTTTGTAGTATCTTCCATGTTCAGATCATCTTTACTCTAAATCAATTTATAATGGGATTGTTTCTTACAACAATTTGAAGTTAAATTTGATAACTTGGATGTGCTCAAAGTTCGAAAAAATATCTTTAAGTAAGTTTGTGCTTGGTCAATAGATTAATTGTAGCCACCCAAGTTCATATCCAATGGTCAAGATTAATGTGACCACCTTGTATGAAAGGTAAATGGTCTCATTCTATACTTTCAATAACTAAGAGCCGGACTCACCTGAGTAACTTGGGCTTGCCATCCTCATGAGCCTAAGTATGTTGAGGTAAACATTCAAAAAAAGTTTGAAAAATCCAAAAAAGTAAGAAATTTATTTGTAATATGAATTTTTTTTTTAATGTTTTCGATTGTTTTTGCAAAGATTAGGAAGTGTTTTGGTCATGGAAATTTATTTTTACATTTTCCCTTTTTTTTGAATTATTTCTAAAATACCTCCAATTACAAATTAATTTTTAAAATCCTCTTTAGACTACTTTTTATAACCTCGTGTAGTTATGTTTTGTTTAATTTTTATTCAAACATGTTTTTATCTTTTTTTTATTTTTTAACATTTCTTGTACAGCAAGCCCTGCCCAACTCAACTGGAGTTACTCAGACTCACTCAGCTCAGGGCCGGGTTCGGACCGAGTCGTGCTTTCACTGAATCCGACCACATTAGCAGCAGCCACAAATAAATGAACATAATCACGTGAGACTCGTCGTCTTTGGTGCCAAATATCCAAGTTGAGCCAAAACTACATTCAAAAGCTCCAAAGAGAACTCCCGATTTCCAAGGAAGCGCTCAACACGCTAGAAAGCTACGTGCAGCATATAAGCTTTAGGGGATTTTCCAATTTTTTGGGTAAGGAATAAAACTCCCTTTATAATTGTTCTAAAATATAAAAGGGAAGGTTTATATATATACACTTATTCTCCATAAGCTGTCTAATTTAGATCGAGTGAGTCATTCATCATTTGATCTAAGATCCGATGCTTCAGAATATTTTATTTTCAATTTTTTTTTTCAAATTATATGAAAGAAATTTTTAAGGATATTTTGATCATTTTATTTTATTGAAAATATTGTTTTATATTTTTTTATAGGTACGAGTTTAAGAGGAGTGGATTCTCAAAATTTAATGTCAAAATATTTTGTAGAAAAAAATTGAAAATTAAATTGTACAGAAGTGTGACATTGTGATGGAAATCATCTCAACCATCCATTCAGAATAGACAGTTGGATAAAAGGAACTATATAAATTTTATACAGTAGGGAGTATAGAAAGCTTGCCCTAAAATAAATGTGCTATCGTTGTACGTCATCATTCATGAGCCTCCATTTCAGAAATCAATCTTCACATACTTACATATATGGGGATTGGGCAAAGGCATCAAAAGAAAAATAAAACCCCGTATTTTTGTCGCTATTGGTGAAAAACAAATACAAGGACACTGTTTTTCTCCAATTCATGGATGAAAAAGGGTTATCCCAACGTACAAATGGGACCTTATTTCCTTGGTAGAAACCAACTTAGGAGTTGGTGAATGAAACTTAAATATTGGCAATCCCATTGTCCCCGTGACCATGCATCCTCAAGGACTTCCTGAACACCATGTCTCAAAATTAATAAACAACCTAGCCATTTTATTGATAATTATACGTAATGTATTCAACTTCTCAAAAAAACATTTTTTTTCTGAATTTATTGGTCTTGTAGTTCTAAAGCGATTCCTAGAATCGCCAATCAAACTAGAGTTTAAAAATCATTGACTCGGAATAGCTCGATCCGGATCTAAAATCAAATGATATTCTTTAAATGTATAGGGAACCCGCCTGTTCTATCAGTTCTATTAGTGAACCAGGTTCCCAACTTTTTTAAATGAATTTTTTTCATTTAAAATTTCTGAAAGTTTAACTCTAATTTCAATGTGTGGCCTTGATGAAGTTTTGTTCTAAAATAAAGCAAATTACATAATTTTTTATAAGATCAATAAAGCTTGAAGAAGTTCATTTACATTAAGCATTTTAATATGGGCAAACTTTCCGTTTTAATATAGCCTTAAAAGGTCACATACCTAACAGAGAAAGATCACATGTTAGCAATTATATTTGTGAATTGAGAGAGAGAGATTAAGGGATCGGATAAATGACAACTTTTCCGGTGGCTCTGCCTGTCTCAAGATGAGAGAAGGCATCGGGAACTTTCGAAAAGGGGAAGGGTCCAGCAGGGTCGACGACTGGTTTGATTTTTCCAGCCTCCAAAAATGGGTTTAATTTGTCCAAAACTGACCCTTTAGATGTCACCACAAATCTGAAACCCGGCGAGGTCACGGCCCCTGTTAATGCCACCACGCTTCCGCCTTCTTTCACAGCCTTAACAGCTCTCTCACATTGTCCTGTTTTACACAGGAATTTACAGTAATGTTCCAGAGAACAATTAGACACATTGACTTGTTTTACAGAGGAATTTGAAGTCATGTTCCTTAAAACAATTACATAAGACAGAGAAAGAGAATGGAGATTGGTTACTTTACTACTAAGAACCAATATGTACTGGAAATTTAAGAAAATGGAAAATTGGATTGTTTTAGAGGCTCACCAACAGCATCATATACAACATCGAACTTTTCAGTCAGATCTTCGAAGTTCTGCTTAGTGTAATCGATGGCAACCTCAACACCCAAGCTCTTCAATAGCTCCAATTTCTTGGTGCTTGCAGTGGATGCAACTTTCGAAGCACCAAAGACCTGTTTGGCTAGCTGTTTGCCAATGAAAATGAAAGAGAAAAAACAATTTTAATTAGTTGAAATTAAGACCATGACTCTTGGTTATAATTATCATATGAAAAGGCTTGAGGACCACAAAAATATGCCAAAGCAAAGCGAACATTAACCATAAAATATCAAGAGAGAGAGAAATTTACCTGAATAACCATGGTTCCAACTCCTCCAGCCCCACCTAAGACGAGGATCGACTTGCCGGCAGAGAATCCTGTTCGTTCAAGGCCTCCATATGCGGTCTCGATAACAAGAGGGAGGCCAGCAGCTTGCAAGAAGTCTATGGATTTGGGTTTCAAAGCCAATAGTTTCTCCTCAACAGCTGTGAATTGGGCTAAAGAACCATATTGCTTGAGATCTTCAAGAGCTTTCTCATTGATGTTTCCATAAACTTCATCTCCCTCCTTTAAACCCTTCACTTGGCTCCCAACTTTCACCACCACCCCACTCACATCATAGCCTGGGACAGTCTATACACATATTTGAATTAAATTAAACTATCAAATATGTATTTTAAAAAAGGAAAAAGTTTATATAATGTTGCAACCTTAAAGTGTAGAATTACACAGGCACCTCGAAAAAGTTTATATAATGTTGCAACCTTAAAGTGTAGAATTACACAGGCACCTCGAAAATCCATTGGAAAATGTTGTTTTAATGTTGAAAACCCTCTAATTGATCATCTCGACATCAAGATGTATGAATATTGAAAGAAAAAAAAGATTTTGAGTCCCAAAAATAGTGCATCTTGCAACACATTATCTAGACCTTCCACTTTCAAGATTTTCATATATTTATAGATCTACTTGATTTTAACCATCTTTAGAGTTTAAAATTTTATAATTAGATATAAAAATAGACTGTTAGATAATCCTAAGAACTTTTTACACAAAAATTGCACGTTATGATAAAATTTGGAGGTGCACCTTAATTGGATTGTTTAAGGTTGCAACATTAAAAAATCGGGCAATGCGTACTTAGCATTGTGCTTAAAGCATAAATATTGTGAAAACTAGTAATTAATGTCCGGGGTTTGAATTATAGCTTTATCCAACGAGGAGAAGATATTAAGGGACATTTATTGCACCCATCTGAGATGAACGATATGATATTTACCCATTTGCAAGTGTTCCATCACAAGGCCGCGTGTTTTTTATGGTATTTTGAAATTATTCATCTCTCAAGAATAATTTGATAAATTTCTCAAATATTAATAACATGTAAGATCTCGAAGGGGATGTTTGTTTGAAAATTCTCTCCCAAATGGAGCTTTCCCATAAGAAAGGTCCACCAGCGGGAAAGCATTTTCATACCTGTTTTTGTAGGAACAAGCTTTCCCAAAATAAAATGCAGGCAGACTATTCATGGAAAGCCGTGCTTCTCATGTAATCCAGCACTTTTCCATGAAACAAACCCGGAAAAGATGCAGCAAATCTCTCTCCAACTAAACAAGCTTCCCCTAAGAGTCATGTTGGGATAAATTTGATAAATTTCTCAAATATTAATAACATGTAAGATCTCGAAGGGGATGTTTGTTTGAAAATTCTCTCCCAAATAGAGCTTTCCCATTAGAAAGGTCCACCCGCGGGAAAGCATTTTCATACCTGTTTTTGTAGGAACAAGCTTTCCCAAAAAAAATGCAGGCAGACTATTCATGGAAAGCCGTGCTCCTCATGTAATCCAGCACTTTTCCATGGAACAAACCCGGAAAAGCTGCGGCAAATCTCTCTCCAACTAAACAAGCTTCCCCTAAGAGTCGTGTTGGCCTGCCATATCTAATAATTGTAGATCTTGATATGCTACTTTGATATGTTTGGTTGCTCGCCTGTGCAATAGAAAATGTGATATTACATATGCTTCTCACTAGATTCGTTTGGGATTACATACTCCATCACTGATAAATATTTGGTGCAAGGACGTCAAAATCACTTCCGCCCTCGCATTTTTAATCTCATGTCAATGAAACATTTGTTTAAATTTGAAAAGTTCGATAAAATTTGTTTAAATTTCAACCCACGTCAATGAAACATTGGCCCGATTTCACATCTAATAACTAAGGATACATGTAACCTCCTTTGCCAAAAGTAAGTATTCTTATTGTATAATTTTCTTATTTGTTTACCCGATTATGCAAACCTTCTAAGTATACCAAACCGGGGGTTGGATACAGTAGGGAAACAAGCACAAAAGCATTAAGTACTTTGTAGAAGTTTTTCATTTATTTGTGAGAGGAGAGGAACACAAAGTCTCAGATATTGCGTCTTTGCCAAACTGTTGGGCTTGAGATTTAGTTCAATGCAATAAAAAACTAGCCAAATCCTTTGAATTTGGGCAGGTCCAAAAATTAGAGAAAGAAGAAAAAACAGAGCCCCATATGCAGTTCAAGAAAATATAAATGCACAAATGATTGCAAATCTGGTCTAAACCAAGAATCTTACAGAGGTTCTGCTCGAACTTCCATTTTTAATTACTGGGAACCGAGAGAGAATCATGTTATGTTCTTAATTACTCGGAGAAGAGAGAATCATGTTACTGTGAGAGAGAGAGAGAGAGAGAGATTGAGATTCATACAGGGAGAGGAGAATCAGTGGCCTTGAATTTGCCTTGCCTCCTCTTGGCATCAACAGGGTTGAGAGCTGCAGCCACAACCTTCAAAAGTACCTGATCTTCCTTTATCTCAGGCACCTCCACTTGTTCCCCGAACTTCAGCACCTCACCACCCCCATAATCTTCATAAAACCATGCCTTTTGTTTCGGTGGAACTGTTATGCCTTTGGCTTCTGTTCCACTTACTTCAGTTGAAGACTGTTGGGCTTTTAATGAAAGTTGGGCATTGTGCTTTCTTGTGGCTCTAAGAGGTCTGATGAGTGAGAGAGTGTAGGCGTTTAGAGGAGGAAGTGAGGGTTTTTTGGGGTAGAGAGAGGTTGTTGGGTTGGAGAGAAAGGAGGATGAGAGAAAGGGGGAGATTTGGAGTGTCGGTGTGAGGGCCTTCATTGGGGCTCCCTTCTGTTCAGGATTTGCTCATCTTCCTTCTCTGCAATGCTCACCTTGTTTTAGTCTCTCTCTCTAAACTCGCAACTCACTCCCAATTACACCTCTCTATCCTCCTAGAACCTTCTTAAGAGAGACACGTCCTCTACCTGGCCACTAGATAAAGATTGTCCTCCAGGAAATGCTAGGCTGTTGTTTTTTCTCTTGAGATAAATTTTCTCAGAAAATACGAGTATTACGAGGTAAATGTGGTCAGACTTTTTTCTTTTCGAATTCACAGTATGTACTTATAAATCCCAAAAACAATGTACTTTTTGTTCCTTCATATACATTCCTGTTTCAATTGAAGCATTGAATCAAACCACAAAATTCTACTTGTCGTAGAAGCAGTCTCTCTCCTGCCAAGGAGTTTTACAAAAATACATTTACATGTATTGGCTGATGATAGTTTTCCCACATAGAAACCCATGTTTACTTACAAACTAAGCATAAAGCTCACAATTAAACCAACAGATAAGACATTTTTCTACAGGTGCAAATTTTTTGTCATCTTCCGAACCTCTTTCAATGACCACAAGAAAAGGAAATGTTCAGGAATTATCAAGAAAAGAGGCACATTCTTTTATATCTACACAAATTAACACCCCACAAAGGGAAAACTATTTATCAAATACTGTGCAACAATGTGCATGAAGCACCTGTAACTTTGAGAAAGAGAGAGAGAGAGAGAGAGAGAGAGAGAGAGAGAGAGAGAGAGAGAGAGAGAGAGAGAGAGAGAGAGGAGGGGG